GAAGAAAGAAAGAAACGAGGTATTTTAAGAGAGCTGGGTTTTACCTTGACATTCACTGCTTTGAAAAATATATAAGGGCATTTAGTTTGTAAATAGTACTGCAACACGGACATATATGTAAGGCACAGAAGCGGAATCTGGACATTTAATGAGACATTGCGCTCGCCAGAGACTATCAAATACAAAGAAATGAAACAGACAACGAATAGCAAGAATAAGGTCAAGTGTTGCCTGTTGAGGTATTGGTAGTGGCAATTAGGGTGCTTGTTAGTTTTGATGTTAATTAAGGCGCTGTTTACTAGGGTTCCAGCTGAAGATAGTACAGTGCTCCCTGAGTCTGAAACTACTGGGGGGACTGCATCATCAACTCATAATACCATCACTTAAATATTCTCCAGGAACCAAGTCCTGACACCATCACTCACAATACAATTCACCTTGTTCTTATTTACTGGTTACCTCGTCTACATTCGTATATCAATAATAATGGTGGACAAACTGAATACATTCAATAATGAAAAAGAGCCTTGAAGAACAAAAAGGCACAATAAAGTGGCTGGATCAGTAGTAGTACTTCTGCTTCTACTACTTCCACTAATAGCGTTACCACAACTACTCTTTCTTCCTCTCTCTCTCTCTCTCTCTCTCGTCTCTGTCCTCCTCGCCTATATATACTGGTTCACTCACTCTTCCGTCTGTGTGACTTGTAAATGGTCGAAGACGAACCGAATCGTCGTCAAAAGCTTTTTCTCTCTCCCATATTTGTGTGACAAGAGCCTTTATTATTGCAGGGTTTTTCCCTCCCTGTGGTTCCAGACTTAAGTGACACCCTACGAAGTCTCTCTCAACTTCAATCTAGACTTACCAATAAGATAATTTATTTAGTGAGATTGCATGATACAGACAACGTCTTTTCAGTTAGCGATGTTTTCTGTAATCCTGAAGTTATCCTATGAAAATTCTCTAAGCTCAATTTATTTATGGAAAACTACGAGACTGAGTTATTACCCCCGTCGAAATTTGGTTGAGATACGGGGATGATATCTTCTAAATGTGACTAAAAGGGCAACATTTTGAATCCTGTATTGAATAAATTAAACATTTTGAAGCCATCTAACAAATTAAAATATACTCGAGAAACAAAGTTAAATTATCTTTTCTGGATGTTCTTATCAATCGATTAGATGGTAATATTAAATCGGGTAGATGGTAATTTTAATTCGGGCAGAGGGTAATATTAAATCGGGTAGATTGTAATATTAAATCGATTAGATGGTAATATTAAATCAATTAGCTGGTAATATTAAATCGATTAGCTGGTAATATTAAATCGATTAGCTGGTAATATTAAATCGATTAGATGGTAATATTAAATCGGCTAGATGGTAATACTAAATCGGTTAGATGGTAATATTAAATCGGCTAGATGGTAATGTTAAATCAGGTAGACGGTAATATTAAATCAGGTAGATGGTAATATTAAATGGGGTTGATAGAAATATTAAAACTGTATATAAGAAAGACGCTTGAGCATATTCCGTCTCGTGTAATGACCAATAAGTTAAGAAGTCTGTAACTGCCTTCATGCTTCTAAAAGTTTATCATGTGTGTCATCCTAGTTATATAAATAATTAGATATAAAATATTACAAATTTTCGAGAATCTACGTTATCAACTGTGATTTATCTCACAAGCTCATTTTACCTCTAGAAAATTTGAAAAAGTTCAGAATCTCACTCCTAAAGATTTTAGTAAATGCTTAATGCGATCTTATATTGTGTCATCGAGCAGACATTAATGTATCACATATATAGCATAACACTGTTAATAAATTAATATTCAGAACTTAGCCAAATGACAAGGTTGATAAGTGTGTGTATTCTCTTCCTTGCTAGTAGTGTCCAGAGATGGTACCTGTTGAAGACGTAATATAGCAGTGCTGTGCTTGTATTTTTTCCAAAATATAGATTTCATCAATAACAGACTGATGTTCCACTTTGATAAATATACAAGAAGTCGAATTGCTGACTGAAAGTCTTATTGCCTCTATCCTACGCTGTACTTCATTTGATGGACAATATAAAATCAACATTTTTCACTCTAGAGATACAGCATCTCATTAAAAGACTTCGCACTAGAGTTTTAACTGGTGTTGAAAACAATTAAAGTTAAGCTCTTCGGGTTCAAAGCAATCAAGGTCAGGCAGCACTGTCGCTCTCAGTTAAATCAATGAAGATCTCGTGATGCCTCAGAGTGGTGATTGTTAACTCAGATCTTGCTTACTCCAGCTGATGACGCCATGTGATATATCCTTATGATCTTATATATATAGCTAGATTTTCTGTTTAATGCTATATAGTATGTATGAATATAGACTATACAGTATGTATGAATAATATATATATATATATATATATATATATATATATATATATATATATATATATATATATATATATATATATATATATATATAGGGAGGTACCACCTCTAGAACTGTCCTGGGGACCCTCATCCTCAGAGAACTCAAGGTTCTCCCTGAAGCTGTTTGAGAATTTTCTCCTACTACCCCCTATATTTAATATATATTTTATTTAAAGACAAAATACATTGACAAAACTTTCATAAAAATACAATAGAAAGTGAAACAACATAGATAACTCAGAGCTATATCTCGAATACTTCGTCTAGCTCTCCGGCTGTGGGCCGCGTGCCCAGAATGCTGCAGGCATTTCCTCTCTGGATCGCAACACTGAGTCTCTGAAAGAGGAAGCTGGTCGTGCCGAATAGGCAAAACTTGGGATTTTGGCTTAAATAGCAACGCTCTTCTTTGCCGAATAAGACAAGCAAAAATTAGTGTATGCAAAAATTTCGCAAAAATCATTCTGAACCTACCGAGAAAATATATTTCATTGTGTTTATAATTAAATTATTGTGAACTTATCTGAGATATATTTAAGTAGTTGGGCTAAACTAAACTAAATTGCGCTTGTTATAATAAGGTTAGGTAAGTTTTCCATTTTTTTTTGGAACAAAATTATTAATTTTTACATTAGTATAAATGAAAAAAATATATCTTTAAACGTATAAGAGAATTTTTAGAGAGGACTTAATTTTAAATGAGTTCTTGCCAACTGACCAGTTTTAAATATTCGGCACGATATATAATATATATATATTTTATATATATAAAATATATATATAATATATATACTATAAATATATAGAAATTAAATCATATATATATATACATATATAATATATATAAATATATATATACATATACATATACATATACATATATACATATATATATATATAAAATATAATATATATATATATATATATATATATATATATTTATACATACTGTATAGTCTTCAGCACTATAAAAAATAGTGATAATAGTGCAAGTTTACTAATCACTAGACATTCACCATTAAGAAATTTGTAAACTAGAAGTCTTTAACAGAGTGGTGGAGCTCCTCAAGTGGGCGAAAAAGAAAATTCAAGTTTTAAACATGTTTAGACTTTCAATGTGAGCTCGTGTGAGCTCGTGCGCAAAATGAGTTATACGTTAGTTCTCAAATTCCAGTCAATACGTACTGAAATTTAACGACTGAGCGGCAGTGTTGACAAGATGGTCGGGGGAGCCACGGGGAAGAAAAATTAGAGAATAACACTGCGGAAATTGAGTGCGCTTCAAAGCCGGGATATTGACAGTTTTTTAGCGTTCGGACCATGAAATGTAGCTACAAAGATTACTACTCTCTTGTTCCTGCTGTTTGATCATTCTTGTTCCTGCTGTTTGATCATTCTTGTTCCTGCTGTTTGATCATTCTTCTTCCTGTTTGATCATTCTTGTTCCTGCTGTTTGATCATTCTTGTTCCTGCTGTTTGATCATTCTTGTTCCTGCTGTTTGATCATTCTTGTTCCTGCTGTTTGATCATTCTTGTTCCTGCTGTATGATCATTCTTGTTCCTGCTGTTTGATCATTCTTGTTCCTGCTGTTTGATCATTCTTGTTCCTGCTGTTTGATCATTCTTGTTCCTGCTGTTCGATCATTCTTGTTCCTGCTGTTTGATCATTCTTGTTCCTGCTGCATGATCATTCTTGTTCCTGCTGTTTGATCATTCTTGTTCCTGCTGTTTGATCATTCTTGTTCCTGCTGTTTGATCATTCTTCTTCCTGCTGTTTGATCATTCTTGTTCCTGCTGTTTGATCATTCTTGTTCCTGCTATTTGATCATTCTTGTTCCTGCTGTTTGATCATTCTTGTTCCTGCTGTTTGATCATTCTTGTTCCTGCTGTAT